TTTGTTTCTGTGTTTGTTTGTTTGTTTGTTTTAATGAGAATGTAACTTGCCAGCCTAAATATGATGATCAGATAGAGCCATGGCTGTGCTGTTTTGATTTTGTAATGAATTAGCCAGTGGCTAGTTTCACATGACTCGCCCTGTAAGTAATGTGCCCCACCCTTCATACAGCGATCCTGGAAGAAACTTGCTGAGTGTATCTTCCTACCGTCTTTCTAGTGGCTGCTGCTGGCTTGTGATTTCTGCTGCATGGTTTAGAGGAGGAGCTGGGTAAGAGAGCACAGACTTGTGTCTATCTGCTTGTATCAAAGCCATCAGCAGAGGCTGCTCTGTAAACAAAAAGATACAGAGAATGAAGACAAAGGATGAGAAAGAAAATGAGTTTGAGCAGTAATAGGGAGAGAAGCAGTTTGTTCGTGAAGATGGCAGGTAGCATTGGCATTGCTAACCCGAACAACTGAGAAGCATGAAATCCATTTGAACCTGTTTTGTAACCATCCAATAGATATTTAAAGGAGGAAATGAAGTAAGCAAAATTTTAGGAGGAAATTTTCACCCTTTGTTTGATCTGTCATTCAGGGTTGAAGCTTCCATGCATGCATGCATGCACGTACATCTCAGGTAGAATTAGATTCTGTTTGCCCTAACATGACTCCTGCAATTAAGTAATTTCTATTCTTTACTCCTTTTTTAAAATAGGACTAGCTTTTCCTATGTCTTATGCATTCATTTGACTCTTGGATTGAGTGGTCCAATTATGTGTTTTAGTTTTTTTTTTTTTAAGAAACCTGATTGCTTGCTAAGTGTCTTAGGGAAACTGTTTTTCATTTTGTCTCAGAGCTTGCCTATGTAGTTAAGGAAAAATATCTTGAATATCAGCTGATACAACTGACAAAAAGGTGCTCAAACTTTCAGGCACAAAAATCTCCTTTTATAGATATGTTGCTCAGAAGATATCTCAGTGCAACCTTCTAGTTCTTATGTAGAAAATGAATTTTCAAAACACAGAAAGAAGCTGTTACACTGGGTCACTGTCACTTGTGTAGTACAAGCTTTTTATATAGAATAAATGTGATAAAATATCAAAATACTTAAGCAGTTTTTTACCTTATACCTATAATTTAAAGAAGTGCTGGTAGAAATAATGCAATACTTTTAGTTGGGATCTTTGGTCCATAAAAGGCAGTTTTACAAAATATTCCATTACTGGCAGCTCAATCCATAAATAAGCCAATTTTGGAATAAATCCAAAATAAGAGCGTAAGGGGAAAGGTATTGTTGGATGGTGTAGTGAAATGGGATGGGGTTTTTCACCTTGGGAATTACTTGCTGAAAATAACGGATGTCCTACCATTAAGCTAAAACATAACATGTTTAAACATCCTTCTACCTGCACATGGAAATACCTTATTTCAAGGTCTTGGGTCATTGAAATGTCATACTGTAGCTGCTTCTGGAAGAAGAACTTATAAAAAATAATTATAAAATATTAGTATTTTTTTACAAAGTAATTGTGACCAGGATTTGTTACCAGTCTATTTGTAATGGTAACCTTAAATGAGGTTTTGTAAGACTTACTTGTAAATAGTGGGAGCTAATTCCCTAATTGTGAAAAGGTGACAGTAAATGGCAAACCACACTGCGTGCAACACTCACATGGTGTTGTTAAACAAAAGGAAGGAGCAGAAGACTTGTCAGCTATGGTGGGATGACAGGAGGAGGCAAAAATGTGTATACATACATATAAAAATGCCCGTATAAAAAAATACGTAATGATAAATGAACAGAGGAGCCAAACACTTATAATGAATGGAAACACTTATAATGGAAAAGGACAAAACTTCTCTCTGTGTGGAGGAGTAGTAAGGTGGAGTGAACTGAAAGTGGGAGAAAACTGTTTACCAGAAAGTTTGAGAGTTGATTTGGTCTCTCTGAGAGCTGTGGGAAATGCCAAATTGATTCTTCATATGTGATAGTCTTCTCCACAGATAGCAGAGAGAGATTCTCACAGATATTGTAATATTGAGTGCTGATGTATCTGGTAGCTTACAGCTTATCCACAGAAGAGGCCAAAATTTCGTAATGGATTACTTGTTGTGTTACATCAGAGGGCAAGTCAGGGAAAGAGTGAGTGATGAAATCTCTCTCTATATAGCTTCTGGAGTTATTTATCTTACAAGATCCTGAGTGGCTTTTATCTAGCATTCTTCTATTGCTTGTGCCCAGAACGCTTTACCTGAATTCAGTTGATTAAATTACGGTATTTAGTTGGCCTTGCATCTCCCTGTTTGTATTCTGGTTTGTGAACAGCAGTGTTGAGTGTGATTTTGGTTGCTGCACGTTTATTCTGCTTTTCCCACTGCTGGATAAAGGATGCAGGCTGAATTGCCATTCTGAGTTACTTCCACTCAGATACATATTTAAAAGGAAAAATATGCAGGCCACTTATTGTGCTTTTGTGATTGTAATATGGAAAGCCTTCTACACCTAGAGGTTAACTCTAGTTTTTCAGGGTATTTCCACCCTCATCTTTTATTCAAATCTGTGTTCTTTTTGATTTAGACTTTTTCTTTGATCCAGGTGAAGTCTAAATTTGCTTCTTCCATAGTCTGAGGTCTTGGCCCTGTAAATATCAGTTGAGGATATTAAAATTACCCTAATGGAACCAGGATTCCACTTCTGGTACCTTGGGTATGTCCTCATTTTCTCACTATAAGCACTGACAAAACTATTGTCTAATCCCGGTGCTCTTGCAGCATGATACCTCTTTGCTTCTCTTGAAGTGAAATCATCCCCTTAAAATGGCTCAGAATAGCTCTGCTAGAACCTCTGTCATGTTACAGTTCATTCCTTTAACATCCTCCTTTGGAGCTTTCTCTGCACATGGGTCAGATATACACATGCATTGACTTTGTCTTCAAAACTTTTTATAGCTTAGTATTGCCGTGGCTGTTTGTTCCAGCTTCGTTTCTGCTTTTTTTTTCCACCAATAGTGCCAACTTAAGCTTTCTGCTTATGAACTTTTCTCACATGCTTTCCCTAGATCTGCTCTCTGCACATAAGGAAAAAGTGACAACCTGTGAAATCTCCTTGTCTGAATATTCAAACTCTTCTTTTTATATCTCACCTTTGCTGTAATGCATACAGAAAGTCACCATCTGCTAAGTAGGTAGGAAGAGGTAATTGTGGCAGATAGCTGCAGAAGGCATACAAATCTGGTACAAACTACATTTGTTATCCCATATTTTTTTTCCCTGCCAACATATTAACTCCTTTTGTCCCCTTGCATGCCTTGGTTTTACAGTGTAAGTTATTTGGACAGAGCAGTTATTCAGTATATTCATAGAATCACAGAATAGTTAGGGTTCAAAGGGACCTACAAAAATCACCTAGTCCAACCCCCTGTCAAAGCAGGGTTACCTGTTGGTCCTCTTATTGGACATCACAATCCTGTCTGGTTGATTTTTTTTCTTTTTTTGTTTCGGGGTGGTTTATAACAGATGAATTAAATATGAATTTCACTAAACCTGCATATTTTAAGGAGCCTGTTTACTGATTCCCACAAAATAGAGAAGTGAGAATTTCATTTTTGTTGCTAATAAGGTGAAACAAGGAAAACTTTTTTATTCTTTTTGCTTTTTGTCTTTTTCTTTGCCATGTCTCTTTGTGAACTCGTGAAAGTGTAATCCATACTCTCCATATACAAATGCTGTATTTTAAAGGCTCCATTATTGTAGAAGGGTTTGAGTTGGAAGGGACCTTTAAATGTTACCTAGTCCAAACTCCCTGCAATGAGCAGGGACATCTTCAACTAGGTCAGCTTACTCAGAACCCCCTCCAGGCTGCCCTTGAATGCTTCCAGGGATGGGGCATTGACCACCTCTCTGGGCAACCTGTTCCAGTGCTTCACCACCCTCATCATAAAAAATGTCTTGCTTTTATCCAGTCTAAATTTACTCTCTTTTAGTTTAAAACCATCACCCCTTGTCCTATCACAATAGGCCCTGCTAAAAAGTCTGTCCCCATCTTTCTTATAAGCCCCCTTTATTTAATGGAAAGCCTCAATCAGGTCTCCTGGAGCCTTTGGTTCTCCAGGCTGAACAACTCTCAGCCTTTCCCCATAGGAGAGGTGCTGCAGCCCTCTGATCACCTTGGTGGTCTTCCTCTACACCTGCTCCAACAGATCCAGGTCTTTCTTATGCTGGGGACCCCAGAGCTGGATGCAGCACTCCAAGTGGTGTCACACCTGAGTAGAAGGACAGAATCACCTCCCTTGACCTGCCGGCCGTGGTGCTTTTGATGCAGCCCAGAACACAACTGGCCTTCGGGGCTGCCAGTGCACAGTACTGGCTCATGTCGAGCCTCTCATCCACCAGCACCCCCAAGTCCTTCTCATCAGGGCTGCTCTTCATCTCTTCATCCCACAGCCTGTATTGACACGGGGAGTTGCTCTGACCCAGGTTCAGCACCTTACACTGGCTCTTGTTAAACCTCATGAGATTCCCATGGGCCCACTTCTCAAGCTTGTCCAGGTCCCTCTGGATGGCATCTGACCCCTCAGGTGCGTCAACCACACTACACAGCTTGGTGCCACCTGCAAATTTGCTGAGGGTGCACTTGATCCCACTATGTCATGGTTGCAGATGTTAAACAGTATTGGTCTGAGTGTGAACCCCTGGGGTACACTGTGAGGAGCTGCTGTTCAGTATGTTTCTGAGAGCACCATGATGCTTTACGTTGAAATTACAAAAAGTTCTGAATGAAAAATACAGTTGGAGTAAAAGCTGGAACATGTTTATCTGCTATGTGCTTGATCTGACTTCCATATTTCAGAAGTGTTCTATGTTAGATTATGCTTCAATGTTATTTCTGGATTATGTTAGTTTTCACTTTTTGCTAGTAACCTTCAAATAGTCTCACTTAAAAGAATTCTTAAAAAATAAATAATTATGAGGATAGATCATTGCTGAAAGTTTGAATCAATTCTGCTGTTTTTGCAGGACTTCAAGAATATGTTGAGGCAGTCTCCTTTCAGTATTTTATCAAGACACGATCTTTGATTAGTGTTGAAGAGATCAACAAACAACTAATATTTACAGCAGAAGACAGAGAAGAAACAACAAACACGGTAAAAGTTTTTCTTAAGTGACAAACATCTTTCTGGGATGGAAATGCAATGAGAAGGCTTAGTCACAATTTTGGCATCTGATTAAATAAGGCCAGTAAGTGGAATGGGATTAGATATGCATGTGGGCTTTGACTCACTTGTTCAAAATGCTTTTTATTCTGATAAAGTGGTAAACTAAATCTGTGGGATACAAGTTTATAAATTTCACATCCTTTTTATTCAGAGCAAACTGAGCTCTTTCTGGTAGGGCAAAAGATCCAGGACAGTGAAGTACTAGCAAACAATTGTAGAGGAGGGATTTTTACTGCCTTGGACAGCCTGTAAGACCTGCTGGTGTATAGTGATGTTGCGGAAGTTGGGGGAGGTAAACAAAGCCAAGGCAGGATGAACTCCCTGAATGAAATCTTACTGCTGGTACTGAAGTAGTCACAGGAGACACTGTATTCAGCTTCTGTTAAAATGTGCTGCATAGGTCTTAGGTTGGTCCTTTGTAACTTTCCTGGAGTTGATTACTCTCAGAGGACCAGCTGGTGTCCCATCATACCTTAGCCCTAATACCTTATCTGTTGTTTATGGACTTACCTGTACTCCTACCCTGCCCTAAATGGGTCATAGTGACAAACTGCTGTCACCAGCCACAGTAAACTGGGTGCAGTTTGATTGTTGACAAGGGAAAATGGGTGATTTGGTAGCAAATTCAGAAGTGGATGCACAGTTGATACGCAGTGTCCTGTAATGCTGCTTTAGAAGAGTTCCTGAGTCCGCTTCTGTTGAAGAGTCTGCTGTAAAGCACTTCTCATTCCTTCTTTATTCTCTTGGTAAGATATTTGCAAAGAAACCAGATTTGTAGCTTAAATTAATTTGTTTTCACCGGAGGCGTGCTCCCTGCGGCACACTTAATTTTAACAAACTGTGAAGTTGTTAACCCCAGCATCCACACCTCTGATCAGATCTGAATTTGGGTATGTGGTGTGTTATGGAAATAAGTAAACAGAAAGAAACCTTCATTGACTCCCATGTTACCAATATTTTGGCAATAAAAAGTATTGGAAACTTGGATAAAGGAGCAAACTTGTAACTTTGTGATGAGTTTTCTTCATGATAGTTTTTTTTTAGCTATTTTAATTAGTTCAGTTGATAGAAAACATCTGAGAATACTATAGCTATCAGCTTCTTGTAGAAAGTATATTTTGAAATTCAAGATACTATTACAAAATTATAAGATTCTTTTTCATAATGCAAACTCTTTTTGATTGCTTTGGTAGCTTTGGACAGACCATTTAAGAAAAAAAAATTTATCAGGCTGAAATCTGTCAGATGAAAAAAAACCCCAATCGACTGTAAATAAATGTTGCTACGAAGATGTGATAATTGTGTTTGCAAATAGAGATGGTAAAGTAGGGTATGTTTATCATGCTTGCTAGAATGAAAATCACATCTCAAGTAAAAATTGATGCTTTCTTACGTTCTGGTCTGCTGGAAGTCAGAGCACGTGGAAGTGCCATGCAATTTAATTTTCCAGAATGTTTTTAATTTCCAGTTACGTTAGATAAGTTAGTGTGTATTTGAACCATTATAGACTGCATTTTCATAGTTCTATGTACTGGACTTTCTTTTGTTCTGTCCCCAGACCTCCAATTCCCATGACAAACAACAACATACCTGGAGCCTGAAGGTAACACCTGTCGATTACCTTCTGGGAGTGGCTGATCTGACTGGAGAGCTGATGCGTCTGTGCATCAGCAGCGTTGGGAACGGTGACATAGACACACCTTTTGAACTGAGCCAGTTCTTGCGTCAGATCTATGATGGTTTTACTTACATTGGCAACACCGGGCCTTACGAAGTATCTAAGAAGCTGTATACCTTGAAACAGAGTCTGGCAAAAGTAGAGAATGCCTGCTACACATTAAAAGTACGGGGATCTGAAATCCCGAAGCACATGCTGGCTGATGTGTTCTCCAGCAAAACGGAACTGATTGACCAAGATGAGGGTCTTCCTTAAAATAAGGACAACTCAGAAGGGAAAAGGACTTAGAAAATGCTTTTTAGTTATGGTTTGTGGGGTTTTGACCCTTCTCAAAGCTTTTTAGGTGGAGACATTTTTAGTTTAATCTATAAGAAGTCTGTCTGCGGTGGTAATTTGTAACCAAAAATATTTTTTATGATGTGCAAGAGAACAAATGTTTGACTTTGGCCTCTTGGTAGGGAATTTCCTGTATTGCTCCATTGTATCTTCTTTCAGAATGACCAAAATTTCCACTGCACTTTACTCCAGTGACTGTCAGTTGTGTGAGTCACCTCAAACTGTTGTTGCTGTTGTTATTACAAGTTTTCAGCAAGTACAGCAGTGGAAAAAAATGGTTATGTACTCTTATTTAGCATTATCCATAGGTTTCTGCTGACCCATTTTCTGAGTATTTGTGTTTTTTAGCTATGTCATACCTAGAACAATGCACCTGTGTGTAAGTTCATCCCTTGACTTGAAACTCAGGTGGTCTCAACAGTGCCACGTAACTTAAGTTTTCTCTGATTAGTGCTTTAAAGTATGAAACAGAGGCTAAGTCAACTTCTTGCCAATTGATAGTGAAGCTAATTGCACCAGATAAATACTGCTATGCACTGGTTATTTTGGGGCTCTGTTTCAACTGAGCTCTGTTCGAGTTAACACTGGTACTTCACAGTTTCGACATGAGCTAGAAGATCCACACAAAAAACAAATTGTGGAATGTATTGTTTTACTTTTTTTGAAGTACAGTTTAATGCGGAATCTGACATATTTCTGTTTGTAAACAAAAGAAGTTTTCATCCAGATTATGTAATTTGGTGTTAGGACAAGCTGGTTTTGGCCAGAACGAATGCGATGCAGCGTTGGAAGTCTGTTCTCCATTGTGCTGCCCTGAGGACCTCCAGTGGGGTTGAACTGGCGTAAGTGAAAGCCAAGCTTTAAATATATGTTAGCAGGAACTATATCATGTGCGTGTTCCTATGGAAAGGAAATTGCAAACAGAAGTACGGCAGACATTCTGGCTTCCACATTTATCTTTGAGGTGGGTATGTCACTGTTGGCAAAAAATCAGGGCTTTATGCTGCTGTCTGAAGTTATGAAAGTCTGATAATGTACATTATGCTAAAGGAAAACAGATAAAACAACATGATCTTTAGACTCCAGGAAATAGGCCTCCCAACTGCAATTGAAAATACTGCATGCTTTTTATTTCCACTTCCATATGCTGTGATACTGCCAATATTTTTTCCCATGAGCATGTCCTGAATAGCTGGAATCATCTGATATATGGTTAGGAATGGGTAAATACATTTCTGTCACATTTTTCCATTGTTTCCACGTAAAGCAATATGTGATGGGTTGAACAAGGAGTGGCTTTTTTCCTATTGCTTAATACTATTTTTTACAATAAATTCTGAAAAGTAGTTACTGCCTCTGTGTTAGTCCATTTGCCTGTCTGTCCAAGTGGTAAATTGTGAGTTTCCTCACAATTTAAGAAGTGTGAGTTTCCTGCTGTGCAGGACTTGACTTGGAAGTCTCACTCCACTTCTATATTCATACTTCAGTGGGTACTTTCTAATCCTGAATCTCTTTATTCTTTTTCCCTTAACTTTATTCTGTGAAGTCTGAAACCTAGTTAGGATAAAAACTTCATGTGATCCTCTTGAATTAAAAAAAATCAAAGCAAAGGATTCAGATGACAAAAAATGTATATCCCTGGAACAAATCTGCAGCAGTACCCACATTTTTACATTTGGCCTTGGGTTTTTCTCAGGTTTTTTTTCCCCTTCTGATGAAAGGAAAGAAAAGAGAAGGATACTTGCTAATAGGAATAGGAATAGTTTTGGGTTGTCCCCTCCCCTGAAATGTATACATCTAGTTCAGTTGGTGCAGCTAGGAATATAGTTCTGTGCCTTTGGCACAGCTAAATTTATTGTAAGTAATTGCTTGTTGAGTGTAAGTGTGTGAAGCAAAACCAGATATTATTAGAGGTATCATGGGATATTAAACAGAGGTCTGTCTCTTGTCTGTCCTAGCAGCTATCAGGTGGAATTAAAATATGTTCATGGCACAGTTTGAAAAAGGATGAGATGAATTCCAACACATAGCAGTACTTGGCTTAGTGACATTCTGCCTCTAGCCATGGAACGAGCACACAGTGGCCACCGCTTTAGTCAGCTCCTGCTTTTGTACAGTCATTCATTATTCTAAAACTACAGATGCCTAAAAAGAGTACATTTTTTTCCCTAGCAATCCTTAAAAGTAGATGCTCTTTCAAAAAATACATACTGGTTCTAATGATTTTGAGATTTAAATTTTCAGTAGGGTAAGAGGAATCTAATTAATGACAGAAATAATTTCTAAACTTCAGGCTGCCTGCCCATAATCAAAAGCTGTGAATAATTTCTAATAGGGAGCAAAGTGTATCTGCAGTGTATTAAAACACCAGCACAGATGGGAAGTAGCTAATGGCCTGCAAACCTCCTTCTCAAGGAAATATTTTCCCCCCAAAACAATTGCACTGTAGCTATTTGAAAAGTGACAGACATTTATCAGCAAAACAAGCTGCTAAACAAGCAATGGCAGTTTTCCCATTTCTTATCCCATTACTCTATGGAGCTATTGATACGTTTGGTCTACAGCCAGAACAGGACTACGTCATAGCAGATGTTTCACGAGGGCAGCTCTGCGTGCTAAAAATCATCTGCCTTTCTGGAATCTCCTTTCTCAGAAATGATTTTTCTTTATGGGTTCACTTTTTTTTTCCTGACTGTTGAGTTGCAGAGGAAAATAAACCCACCCGCATTTAGCTTTCCAGAGCTGCCAGAGAAGTTATGCAAGAGAAATTTCCTGTTGACAAGACATGTATGTCTGCCTACTTAAAGTCCTGCTTACTTGGATTTTCAGTGAGTTTACTGGAAATCAAAATTAAAAACAAAAAAAAAAGAAAAAGTATCTTTTATAATATTTAGCATATTGGGTGCCTTATGGAATCCAGACCAGATTCTGGCACAGTCCTCAAAGAGTTTGCAGTTTAGGAGTAGGGAAGAAGGTAGCCCAGAGAAAGAAAAGGAAGATGGTAGAAGGTGGGGAAGATAAAGTCACAGGATTTTTACAAGAAGATGAGAAGATGATGTGTAGTAGTAGGTTGGTTTACCACTTCCCATTGTGGAAATCAAACTTGTCAAAACTTCAGAAAGTCTGAAGTGCGACAGTAAAGGGTTAGTTGGGAAGGGCGAAGGCCAGTGGAGAGGCAAAATGGAAGGAAGTGAGGTAGAGACAAAAGGGGGAAGAGTGGCAAGGAGTGGGACAGCATGGAGGAAGAGCAGGCTGAACCACAGGACAGCGAGTGCACATGCAATTAGGGTGGGACTGGGGAGGACGTGGGACAGGAAGACAGCCCTACAAGAAGTTGGAACAACGCTTTGAAACCAGGTGACTCAGCTATAAAAGAGACTTGGAGTTTGACCGTAGGAACTGAATTTAAAATTACCACAAGGTCCCCAAAGCATTGATCTAGCCTTGGGCGATAAATAAGGGGAACTTGATTTCCTGAGCAGCTGAGAACCTGCAGGTCCCAGACTGAGCAGGTTTTGCAGGCTTCCAGTCATGCTGTCACAAATCAACAACAAGCTCTCAGTTCCCATACGACCCAACTTCCCATCCACATTCCCTTCCCTCCCATATTGGTAGCCACAAACCTTCCTGTGTGAATTACTATCACCTGCAGTTGTTAGAAACATGGTTAGATACAGTTTTTAACATAAAGGAATGCTTACGGTGACCACAGTTTTCCCCTTGTGTGCTGTTTACGGGTCCATTTCGCTGTCACTGCTGCTTCAACCCCCTCTCTGCTTCTTCCCTTTCTTTACTTATCCTTTCTTAGGCTGTACCATTCTTTTGAGCCATTGCCCATGTCCATCCCATAGTTCAGTCCTTTCAGTGTTTAGCTGGAATCCTGGGGTAAAACGTTTCCGTGCAGGAAGAGGAATCAGTCGGTTTCTTAGGTAGGTTTGTCTACTTGCACCTTCAAATTTGGAAATAGTGCTCTGGCTCTGAGGGGAGAGGTCTGGTATTCCTGCATTTGGATAAGGCCTGGTGCGTATGTCCTATGGAAGCCATGGTGCCGTGTGTCATGGATGGGTGGGCAGACCTCATGTTGCTTTTGCAGGTGAGCAAACAGTAGTTACTCTGAGGTTTGCAGTCATCACAAGCCAAGGAAAATTACCTACAAACACGAAAGAAGTTTCTTCTCCAGTTCTGAGGAAGGTTGTCTTTGAGGAGTATGATTTCCCACCAACTCTACCTCTTTTTACCTCACCCATCATCCCTTTGAAGGGCCTATTTGCAGAATGTAGAAGAAGAGACTTGCTGATGACTTCTTCTGGAGCCAGTCGGTGCCTCCCTGAACACTGGCCAAGAGTGATGTGATGGTTCCTTTCTCAGCTCCTCCCACAGGCTGGACAGGCTGGCTCTGCTGTCCCTTTGGCCACCCGGGGGGGCTGAACACTGAGCCTCCACTATTGGATTTTGCAGACCAGTGGCATGTGGCTTCATCCTCTTTTTTTTTTTTCTTTTCCTTAGTGGTGTTTTCATGTCATGCAGATGTTCATTCCTCCCAAAGAAAGGCGCTGTTGTGTGTGCTCTGCTGCTCTACTGACACAACACAGGTCAGATGACTTCTTGAGCTCATCGTAAACTGTTTTTTGGCTACTGGTGCAGTGCAGGTTTTGTGGGACATCATCTAGGTTTTGAGCACTTCTCCTGCAGCCCTAAGCTTTCCTGCAGGCTTGCAACGTAGACCCTTTTAATGTAGAAGGGTCTTACTAGTTCCATTTAATTCTTCCTCAAGGTCCTCTCCACGGATGGCCCCAGCAACAGAAGCTGAAAAAACTGATCTGGAAATAGTGTCGATTTTTGTTAAAATGAACTTTTTCATGCTTGGAGACAGGAACCAGAGGGGCAGGTGTGCTTGAATAGTCCATTCTGTGAGTTCGGATGTCACAGGAACATTGTTAATTGCCAGGGGTCTCATTTTAGGAGGGAGCAGGGCTTGCTTCTCTCCTTGCAGCAAGTACTGTTGGAAGGTATGTTTTACTTTGCACCCCACACCTAGCGGGAAAGGTGACAGGCAGCACATGCCAGGGCTGCAAGGGAAGATGAGTAAGATGTGTCAGGCCATACAGCAGATCAGTCAGAAGCCTGAAACTGGATGCGGCCCTTTAACCTCCAGCCCAGCTCTCACTGCTGTGAGCCTCAGCTGCTGCTCCCCAGAGTCAGCCAAGGCCAGAAGCTGCACCACCAAAATGCTGAGGTCACTCACACATGCAGGTCTGTGACCTGCCACATGTGTGCATTTACACATGCCCAGTGAGCAGGGGATGGTGACAGAAACACAGACGCAGAACCTCCTGGTGGCCTTCATAAAGTTCTGATGCCGGCTATTTTATATTTATTAATTATTTTATTTATATTTTATGTATCTTTGCTGGCAGGGCACAAAGAAGAGGGCAAGGTGTGGGCAGGACGTGTGCTGACACCTGTTTCCTTTGCCTCCTTCCCAAGCCTTTTTTCCAGCCTTTTCAGTTGAGCTCTGCCTGAGGTGGCACATGGTTGATGGGCTGCTGGAGAAATGCTGCTTTACCGGAGCAAAGCGATACTTAGCAAATAACTTAGATCCTTATTTTTTAATTTGAGCTATCAACCTGCAACTACACCGAGGTTTCTGAATTGCTTGGGCTCATTTGAGACCCTTACCTCAAAATAAAAAAACATTATCAACTCTTAAATGGGGTAGGGCTTACCTGGGTCCTACTTTAAAAATGTGCTGTATGGGGAAAGGGAAGCCATGGGCATTTGTGGCAACAGGCCTAGGTGTGTGACTTAATGGTAATGCCTGTTGTAAAGAATATAAAAGGTTTTAACTCAACCTTAACAGGGCATGTGCTCTTCTGGGACTGATCAGGAAATGCAGGGAAACTATAAACTTTCAATTTATTTGAGATATGTGCTATAACTTCTCTGGGCCTGCCTTCACACTGAAAGGGTGTTTGTTCATTATTAGAGAATGTATAATATTTCTGCCACCTAGTGTCCAGCTCTTGGAATGCTCAAGCTTTTGGGTATGAGTTACAAGTTATTTGTTGTTTTCTCTTTAAGTTATTCTAAACACACTTAGTGGTGTGGTATAAACTTCACTTTTAGATTTAGGTAGGCCTCTGATAGTAATAATTTATACTTGGCATGTTCTACTACTGGAAATCTGGGGAATACCTGGGAATAGCATATGTTTATTTTATATCTCATCATATTTGTATATGGTGTTTTGCAGACAAACAAATAAAGAGCCATGAGAAACTTTGACTAGACATGTTTTTGAAGATTTGTGAATTACACAAATGCTCTTATTTGAACTAGTATTTAGCTGTTAAACTGGTATAAAATCAAATGCTTCTGCATATGTGAATTGAGCCTGCATGCTTCCCTGCCCTGACTGCAGTTGTCACAGCAAGCCCTCAGCTAAGAAAGCACAAGAGGTTTCAAATCCACCGTGTGTCTTTAGGATAAAAGAAGTGGCTGTGCTGCGCTCTCTGAACAGAGCAGGGCTGCAGTTGGTGTTTATTAATGCTAAAGGTGTCCTGATGTCTTATGTTGTCCTGGTCCCTTGTCTTTCCCTTGCCCTGTGCTGCCTGGGCCAGGAGAGACCAGGAGAGCACAGGGATGATGATGCCCTTAAAAAGCAGTAGGCTTTTTTGTAGACACAACCACAGTTGTTTCTCGGATTGTCCCAGTGGAAAGGCAACTATAACAATCACTTACAAAATTGCATCAATAGACTTAAAAATGGTGGCCTTGTCACCATGGAGATTCTTCTTTATTCTTCCGAAGGTCATTCATGGATAATTTAAGGTCCTTCTTCTACAGGGTACCTTTCACAGGAGGGGACTTTCACAGACCCACTTTGGGACTGAAAGCCATAGAAGAGCATGGATCTCCTGTTCTTACAGCCAGAGTTCCTGCCCATCCTGTACCCAGCTCCAGGGTGGTGGACTGGCACCCTGGAAACGATCGGGTGAGGCTGGTGTGTCTGGATATGTGGCTGTAGACCTCTGCTGCTATCCAGGCACTCTGCAACACAAAATTAGCCCTGTTTTATGTTACATTGTCACAGTCGTATCTGAGCATCTTTGGCTTTTTGTAGCTTAGCTGGGGGCCAGATACCTCATTAATGTAAACTGCTTTCTGGATTACAGCCACGGGAGGAAGGAGATGCTGGTTTGTTTTAGAGCAGTTCCTTTGCCTCTGGAAGATCACAGGTTTCAGAGGGATTTCCGTCTTTTTCTGCCACAGCTTAACAAAGACTGAGATTTCATATGAACCTCTGGATGTTCAGGACCCAACATGCACTGTGTATAAAGGTAGGAGACAGTTCAATTCCTCTCAGTCTTTATGATAAACTCAAGTGAGATTCCAGCTAGTTTCTTCGGTAAAACCGTTCTGATGTTCCTGGCTCTGATGGGGAAATTAGTGGCATCTCTAACCTGCTGAAACTCAGCAACTCCATCCCTCAGGTCGAAGCTCAAAGCTCCCCCTGAGGTCATCAGGAGTTCTGAGAGCTGAACTTGATGCTCCTTTCAGGCAACAGGAAGGCACAGAGATAGGCAGCTACAAAGCTGTCTCTGAACCTTGGCAGCCCTTCCCTGGCCTGCCTGTGGCCCTGCTTCTTTTCTGATGCTGATCTGCTTTGCTTTTGGGAGTCACATTTTGCAAGAGGGTGTTACCATAGGGGCTTGCTGATGCAGCACCCGAAAATGGAATAACTGGTATATGAGTACATGCTTGTATTTTTGCCTTATTTCCTGTGCACTTCCCTCTCCGTCACCCTGTACACGCACATGGAGCATACACATAAAGATGTGGAAAATGAGGAGACCTGAAAGGATTTTTGGATTTTGTGAGTTTGCTTATGGTGAGATATGCACTGCAGTAAATAAAACAGTTGACTAAAATAAATGCAGAAGAGCAATACAGACCTGCAGAGCGACAGGATGGGGAAACAGACTGAATGCAGGTGGATGTGAAGCGATAACACATAGGGAAAAATAATCCCTGTGTACCCTCTTCAAAATTTTCGGGATTTTTTTCCAAGAAAATATCAACTCAATGCCTGTCAGTAAGCAAAAAAGCCAGTCATATGTTAGGAATTATGAGGGCTAGGCATAAAGACAAGAATATGATGTAATGTCACTGTATGAATTCCTGGGTCATCTGCTTTTGAGTGTGACTCTGTTCCCATATCTCAAAAAGGATATAGCAGAACTGGAAAAGGGCAGAACTGAGAACTGCAGAAAGGATGACTAAAGGTAGGGAATAGTTTCTCTATGAAAGGAAACTATGGAAGTCCAGTGGATTGGATAGGGAGGGTTTAATAGAGGTCTACAGAGTTATGTGTGCCATCAAAAATGTGGATATGGAGCAACCATTGACCATCTCTGCCAAGTGAAGAATTAGACACCTACAACTGTGGCTGGCCATAGCCTGGCTCAGAGCAAGGAGCAGGAGCTGGTGCCTTGCATAGTGGATGGAGACCTGCGGAGCCCCTCACCCATGGACGCTGCCTGGGTCAACGTGGCTCGAGGCAGGCTGGGCAAGCCCTTGGAAAGTGTGAGATCCCCTGCAGTTTACTGATTCATCCGATCAAACTGAGCTGAGGAAATGCCTGAGCCCACTTTGGGCCTGGGCTCCTTTCAGGTGAATGCTGTGTTTGGCTGGAGGGTGGCCCTGCTGGGAGCTTTGCCCCTCTGCCTCACCATGGGTGGGCACTGGGCAGCGCCTGCAGGGGCTGAGCACAGCCACGGCAACCAAGACCCTGCACACCAGGGGGAACAGCCTGTGCTCTGGGCCAGCTGCTGCTGGTGTTTTCCTCCTCGCTTACCAGGAGAAGGATGCAGGAGGTCTCCTGAGAAGAGAGGTTTCCTGCCCAGGCAGCTGCAAACATGGGGAGGGAGGATATTGGCATAAAGGGCTGTGTCTCTACTTAGGCTCTCATGCATTACAGCAGAGGAGAATAGAGTTTAAACAAGGTTTCCTGGGTCACTGAAGCTGAACACTTTCTGATGGAGCCAGCCGTGTCTTACACCTTTCACATCAAGCTCCCCCAGCAAAACGGTTGGGTTTGTCACGCAGGGCTCAGGGCTGGGAAAAGGACAGGGTGAGGGAGGCTCAGCTCCTAAACGAGCAGGGCACATGGAAGCGGTGGAGAAGCGGTGGGGATCCGGGCCATGCATGTAGCGACATGCAGGAGAGATCACTTGAGATCACGAAGCTGCCTCTGGATGTGCTTCAGGCACAGCTTTACAGTGCAAAAAGGACAATTGCAGCATCTCCCTGGTGTGACCTGAGCTCCCGCCTTGCCACAAAACTCACACCGCCTGAGCTAATGCAGGTTTTGATGTCAATGTCCTTAAATTGTTTGTCTCTGTTTGCAACAGGCTTGTATTGATTTAAGTTAATTTGGTTACCCAAAAAAGGGTTGTGCTGATTGCTCTAAATGGATTAAATAGTGATTTTAGTTAAACTGATGGCAGGCTTGTGTGTAGACAGGGCCTGGAGCTTTGTAAGCTAATGACTTGGCAGTAATGCAATTTTTTTTAGGCATCTGAGACCAAGCTGTTGTTTTAAACATAAGACCATAAATGTTACTATTCTAGTAAATGGTCCTCAAATGTGATAGCTTTCTGTTAACTCGTGCTCCTTCTGAATCCTGGCAGATCTCTTTGCTAACTCTCACTTTTCTGATAATAATTTCACAAGTACTTTTACTCCAAATGGATTTTGGATTAAATCCAAGTTCAAAACATGGAACATTTCCAACTTTTGACAAGATTTTCTAATTTTTGTTCACCTTCCCAGCCTTCTAATTTTTCCACTTTTTTAGTAATGGAAAAAAAGTTTGTCTTAATTTTTTGATAAAAATTCAGATACAAAAGAAAAATGCAAAGAAACCCAGCTGCTCCCAACAGCAGGGACCTTTCTTCACAAGTGAGCCCTGAGAGGAGGAGAGGTCCGCAAGCAGCCACTGTTTAAATTTTTCACTCAGAAAAAAAACAAGGGTGAGATCATCATAGAATCATAGAGTGGTTTGTGTTGGAAGGGGCTTTAGCTCTTGGGCTTTACAATTTTTGTGTCCATATCATCTCAATGGGAAAAAATCATTATGTCTGCATAAAGTCTTTCCTGCCTGCCTCTGATCCCACTAGTTGGGCTTCTGCCAAGAAAATCTGTCTTCACGGGTCTTTTCTCCACCAAACTGCAAATCCCATTTCGACTCATTTGCTTTCTCTGTTGATATTTTTATCTTCAGGTTGGGACTGAAATTTGAACAGAACATGACTCCAGATGAAAGAGTCACTGAGCCTTGGTTAGCTTTACTTTGCAAGAAAGCCTATTGAGACACTGAATAAGCCTTAGCTCTGAAAACAACAGTCCGGCAGATAGGCTGGGATCCTTTTATAAAACCAGAAAGTTGGTGGCAAGAATGAGAGGAGATGTCATCCTCAAAGGACAGAGAGAACAGGAGGAAGGAAAAGCTCAGGATTACCAGCTGGACAGCAGTTGGAGACCAAGAATCTGAAATTACCTAGAGAGATGAGTATACAGTAACCTAGCGTGCACTAACAAAGAAAATCTGGTAGAGGTTTCTATACCACTAGGGCAGGTTGGATCCTGGACCGTTTCCTGCATTCCTGGATTCTGGAAATTGGATGCCAATAAATTAGAGCACACGTAGAAGCGAAGCTGTGGGAGAGGGACATGACACAATTCAGATAAATTGGGGGCTACAATATTTATGAAGAAGCTGAGTTACCCAGAAGGAGTAACAAACAGATTGTCCAAGATGTAGGCCAAAGAGATCAAGGGAATCAGCACATAAAAGCAAGTGGGCTGTGTGTGACTCCACCACAGCAGCTTGCTGGGGGTGATGGGTCAGGAAGGTGGTGGGTGGAAGCACAGCTGCAAGGCAGTCCCACAGCTGTAAAACTGCAGTGTGCTCGTAATCCTGTGGTAATAAGCACTGTGGAATCCATCTTCATCTTCAGTGACCACCTCAACAGAACGATGATTCGCCCCTTTTTCTAACTTGCAGCACGGCCCCAGATGTTTGTGCAACCCCTGGGCCTGCAACTGCATTCATCCCTCTCATACAAATCCTCAGTGCCCATGACCAGGGTGTAACAGTGTCACAGGAGCACTGATGAGTTGTCGTTACGTGACACTCCACTACATACTTGGGATGTGGATACAGACTGTGGGCAAGCAGGGCCCTCACATGCCTCCTGGACCCCCATTCATTCCCATTCATC